TCTCCGCGAAAAAAAAAGGGGGGGAGCGCGAGCGGGGAAGGACAAGAGAGCGCAAGCGAGAGCTCTAGGCTCCCCGCTCACCCCCTCCCTGCCCCGCCCCTCCCCTCGGGAATCCCAGCGGGCGGGGGCCCTTGCGCGCGCGGGCCAGCAGGGCGCACTCAGCACGCGCTCCCCCCTCCGCCTTGCGCTGCCCCAACGGTCACCTCCCTCCGCCCAGCGCTGCCTTGCGCTCCCCCTACCCCCGCGCTTCTTACGCTCGCTGTGCCCAGCCCCTCCCTGCGCCTCGCGCTTTCTCTTCTCTTCCCCCCCCACCATCAACGGTCACCTCCCTCTCGCGTTCGCTCTGCCCAGCCCCTCGCGCTTCTCCCCCACCTTTTTCCCTGCCAGTTGCTACCTCAGTGCCTTCTCGGTCCCACTCCCAGTGATCCTTTCCCTGCAAAAAAAAAAATGGCCCCCCCAGACGCTCACACTCCACCTCCGTCACCCTGCACATGTCTGTTTTTCCCCACGCGTTCATAATCTCCACATGCCATAATGCCCCACCATCACCCAGTAAAATGCCCCCTGCCATATTGGTTTCCCTCCTCAAACCGGCGCCTTGGGGGTTCCAGCCCACCACCACTTAAGACTTGGCCGAATGTGCTGAATCTGATTCTTGTTTTCTGGCCCCCAGGGCTTCCTCATCTCTAAGTATACTTGCATATTAATTGGGGTTAGCTACATACAGTAATATCTTCCAGTGCCAACTGGTGTACTGTAAATTGTCCACCTGTTTTCTGGCTATCTTGTGTGTGGACACTTGGGTAGGTGGGCTTTGGTGGTAGGAAAATCCCATGTCACTTGAACTAATTATGGTACAAACATAAGTTGTAGAACCAGCTAACAATCCAGTAACATATCTCTTATTTGTGTTCCTACCTTTTCTGTGGATGGGTGGGGATGGCTTGTTGCTGCCTAGAACTTTATAGGGCCCACTCCACATCTTGCTTATCTTACTTCTCAGTTGCTTTGTATTTTCCATCAGTTCACTGCCCTTCCTCCATTCCAAACATCTCCTGCCATTTACTTTTTAAAGCCCATACCCCTTTGCTCTTTCTTTCTGAGAGTCTATCCAAGAAATAACTTTGTGACTTCATTCAAGTCTTCTCTGCAAGACTGCACCTCCAGCATTTCCTCCTGTAATCAGTCACCCTTTTCCTAGTGCTTCCTCCTGCCCAGGGTTTCCTCATAGCAATGCATGACCTAGGCCTTCCCATTTTTCAGACATGCAGCCACTTGCTGTTTGAATCACTCCTTAGGTGGCCATTCTGTCCTAGTATACATAAATTGTGAAGTCCCAGACACTGCTTTCCTAGATTGCGTATTGCTTTACACTCCTACATAGTTCCCATTATCCCCAAAATAATTTCTGTCATCATAGCTCCATTCCTTTTCCATTCAGCATATCCTGGCCACACACCTTTCATGGTGTTTGCCCATATCTGCTGCTACTTGGAATTCATTACCTATTTCCTTACCTTCTTCTCCCCCACCAGAATTAAATTTTACTTTCTCATATGTCTTCCTTAGTTTCATCCAAGTTGCTTCTTGTTCCTTCTGTCTTCCATAACACTAGCATTCTTCTACAAATGCATTTTCTTCTTACTCTGACATGCCATATTTCTTTTCCCCCCTTGCCATTCACATGTGCTGTTCTTGCAATTTCACCAAATGTGCAATTGCTGAAAGTCAAGGTCATGCTGCTACTCTCCCGCTCTGCTATACTGCTCAAATTCATGTTGCCATAACGAGCATATTGTATCTCCAATATTAAGCCCCTTTTCACTATGTTTAAATGAGTTTCTTAAACTCCCTGTAGAGTATTAAAACCTTTTGACTCCCTACTGTTGCTACCCATATTCTTATTTTCTGTTAAGTGTAAAACTTTACAGATAGCAATAGATTTTCTATTTACCTTAAGAGATGGGGGAGGGGAAGGTTTCTTTTCCTACATAGTTCCTTGATTTAACTTCTTTTTGTCTCTTTAGCAGAGTCATACTCAGAACCCTCTGCAGGTTGGGAGTGAAATCCAGTCCAGGTTTTTTGCTGCTCAGGGCTGCAGTCAAAGCCCCTTCCAGGTGAGATTTGTCTGGAAAAAATCAAGAGCAGTGGACCTCTTTGAAAATAACCAGTTAGTGAGGAAGCTGCCTCTCCTTGTGGGAGACCAAATTATTGTTAATTAACTGCTTCAAAGGGGTTGGCCACTACTCAAATGTTTAAACATTAATTTCTGCAGGTGTTATCAAGATGCTTTATAGTAGTTTAGCCATCCTCATAATTAATTTGAAGTCAGTTATCCATTGTTATAAAGGTGGGATTGGGGCTTCTCAGTAGTGATCTCAGAGTTGAAGGTAATAGGAAAAGAAGAATATAATATGTGATATATTGACTCAATAAAGAAGTCCATGCCATTTTATATGTAAGATCTGAGGAACACAGTTACTGATAGGACCTGTTGGAGGTCTTTAATTCGTAAATTGTTTTAAGTCAAAATGACTTGACTATATAACAACAACTTTGTTTCAAGAGGCCTCCTCCCTCCCAAGTCTCATTTATCAAGTTTTGAAAGTTGATCTGCTATCCTGTAGGTATATTCTTTTTTTTAACAAAGTAAAAGTTTTACTTGTGTCCTAAAGGCAGTTGCCTGAAATTAGATTTATTACTTTATTTTTTCTTAGCACACTCCTATACTTGGAACTTGGGAAGTTAACAGTTTACAAGAAAATAAAAATTTTAAAGGCATATGTTCATTGTTGTGCAGGAAGATCTTCCACATATTTCTAAGTAGTCCATTCATGTTGAATACTAGTAGGCATACAGTTGCATCCTAATGTAAGCCTTGGCAGGTTAATTCTGTACTTTAAAAAGTCAGGCTTCTTTGTGTTTGGAAATATCAAGGTTTGGACACTGAACCTACCAGAGGAGGATGGATGATTTATTTATTTATTTTACCTCACCTTTCTCCTTCAAAGGACTCAGAGCAGCTTGTATTATTAAAAGACAATATTAAAACTAAGAACAGTGAGTATACAAATACTAAAAAGGATCAAATACTGTTCAAAAAAACATAAACACCACCAAAACACATTCAAAGCAATAAGGTAAAATGATACATTTTAAAAAACAACTTAGGCTGTTCAGGCTTGCCTGAAGAGAAACATCTTTGCCTGCTTGTAGAAAGATAGCAAAAAGATGAAGCCATCCTGGCCCCCTATGGGAAGGAGTTCAAAAGTCTGCTAGCAACAACAGAGAAGGCCCCCTCTTGTGTCCTCACCAAAATGCACTTGTGGAGATGGCAGACAAGGCAAAGGCCTCTTCTGATGAACTTAACACTTGTGGAGGCTCTTAAAGGGAGAAGCAGTCCTTGAGATAGAGTGAACTGAAGCCATTTAGGGCTTTCTGGGTTAGGACTAACACCTTGAATTCAGCCTGGAAATGGATCAGCAGCCAGTGGAGCTGGTGTAACAGAGGAATTATGTCATTCCTGTAACCAGCCCAAGTCAGCAATCTGGCTGCTGCGTTTTGGACCTGCTAAGGTTTCCGGACACTTTTCTTAGGCATTCCCATGTGGAGAGTGTTACAGTAATCCAGCTGGGATGTAACTAAAGGCATGTGTCACCATGGCTAGACATCTCCAAGAATGGGTGCAGGTGGTGCATTAATTTTAATTCTGCCAAGGCACTCCAAGTCACTGCTGAAACCTGGGCATCCAGGTTCAGAGATGAATCCAGGAGCATCGCCAAGCTGCGTGCCTGTGTTTTCAGAGGGATTGTAACCCCATTCAGCACAGGATGTATCCCTATCCCCTGATTTGGCTTTTGACTGACAAAAAGAATCTGCATCATCATACAGGATAGCCACTGGAAAAATATTTCTACATACTACTTCTCAAAATTGTTCCATGAGCAGTAAAACAGTATTGTGCTGCTACTGCATATTTATTTCCAGGAAGGAGAAACCAAGGCATCTGTATTTTCTTGCTCAACTTCCCATGTTCCTGGGCTTTGTAGGTTGGGGGAGTTATTTTGATCCTCTGTGTACATCTTGCAAAAACATATGAGAAACATTTACAATAATTGGGCCAAATCTGGGACTGAGAAAAGTGTATCCCTCTTTTACTGTCACTCCAGCCTTTGGAGGAAACCATGGGCATGCATGAGTGACTTCTTGGTAGGTGAGAGGGTAAGTGAAATTGCCAAACTCTGACAAAAAGTGCTTATTTGATTTTAAAAGATTACAGAGGAATGCATCTAAGAGGGCAGAAGTGTTTTAAAGAAAACAACACAGAGTTGTTTGTGAACTGGTAGATAAATAATGTGATATGTATTGCTTTTTGATAATTAATAGAAAAAATGTTTTGGAAGCAGTGGGTCAAATTTTGTGAGGCTTTGTAAGTGATAACAAAATTTTCACTTTGCAGTACCATGGCACCTTTGTAGATTATGGACTCTTAAAGAAATAGTGCTCTCCAGCTCAGAATGCGTAGCTTTTATCTTGAATCCACACAAAGATCTAACAGTTAGTGGAGCTGGTACAGTATATGTTTCTAGCCAGTAGTTCTCCTTTATCTTCACCTCCACTGCATGGTAATGTATACTTGGTCCACACCTGCCCATCCACCTATGTACAAACATGGAGCACTGTAACATGTCAGCAATTCTGCCATTTTTTTCCCTTTAGGCACATGATGACTTTCTCTGATATATGCATCCCCTATAACAGTGATGGTGAACCTATGGCATGTGTGCCACAGCTGACACACAGAGCTCTCCCGGTGGGCACATGATCTATAAGTTCCCATAAAGAATTACTTACCCATCCTCTGATCCCAGATTTTGGCACTCCCCTCTGCTGGTGCAGTGGTCCAGCGGAGGGGTGCAATGGCAACCATTATTGGTCTAGCCCAATGGGGGATTGGCGGACCAGGAAGTATTTCTTTGTTAATACCGCCCATAGGGGGGGAAAAGCATTTAACCCTTGCAGAGCAGGAGCAGTTGTTTTTTTCTAAACTAAAACCTCAGCGTTTGGGTTTTAATTGCAGTATTGGCACTTTGAAATAAACAAGTTGATTTTGTGTTGCAGTTTGGGCACTCGGGCTCAAAAAGGTTCGCCATCACTGCCCTATAATGAAGTCAGTCATTGGCACAACAATTCCAAAGGGAAGGCTGAATTTCAAGTTATGGCTTGTTCTGTCTAGTTTGGAGTGAGCAATGTGACCCTCCAGATGTTGCTGCATCAGCCCTAGTCCACATTAGCCAGTGTTTAGAAATAATGGGAGTTGCAGATACAAGTTGCCCACTGCTGCTCAAATGAGATTTCAGTGAAGGGGAGAGAATCTCTTCAGTAATTTCTCCCATGAACACAAGTTGTAATTGATCAGGGCAGATCTTGTAGGAAGAAATGTCTCAGCCATGGTTCAGACACATTCTCTGGAAATCAGGGATGTAGTGGTCCTCAGCACATGGTGGTGCAGCACACTGTTGGCTTTGTAACCACTTCCTTATCAGCATTGTCATAGGGGAAAAGACAGCTATTCTTTTATGGGATTGCATATGTGCAGCATTTCTTTTTCATACACCCTAGGTCATCAGTTGTAAAATGTACCCCCCAGTACATGTACATAGATCTCTCATTATCCGATATAGAAACAACCACCATAGTCATAAGCAGTGTGGAATTTTTAAAAAGAGGCTTGTTTTGGGATTAGATACTCCACACAGGCACACTTAGATAGTACACTGAAATTCTTTGCTTGAATCCTATTCAGCAATACACTGCATAATGATTAATCTTATTCTCGGACTTTTTTCACCGGAGATGATTTCAAACTTAAATAAATAAATGATGGTTGCTTTTGTAGCATTAATTTATCATTCTTTCCCCTTCCCCGTGTTACTAGAGCACTGCAGACTTTCCAGATTGGTGGTTCATCACACTCTTACTCAATTCTATGATCTCTTTTCTCTTTAGACTGCTGCTACCACAGCTCCTCCCCAACAGACAGCTACCCCTGCTGAGTCCCTCCAGGTGGACCTCTTGCCTGTCTTGGCTGCAGCCCAGGAAACAGCTGCTGCTGCTGCTGTAGTTGCTGCTGCCACTGGTTCTGCATCAGCTGCTTCCACAGTAGACACCGCTGCCTTGAAACAGCAGCAACCTTCTGCCTCTGAGGCTGGTGGTGGCCAGGTAGCACCACCTTCTCAGACCACCCAAGCCCCAACTCCTCAGGCAGCTGCTGCTACACCACAGGCAGGTGAGGCCCAGAAGAAGCCGAAGAGTAAAGGTCCATACATCTGCTCCTTGTGTGCAAAAGAATTCAAAAATGGCTACAACCTGCGACGCCATGAAGCCATTCACACAGGGGCCAAAGCTTCTCGTGCTGGGCCCACAACCATGAAGATGCCAACCATGGTTCCCCTCAGCTTGCTTAGTGTTTCTGCCATCGGTGGTACGGCTCCTACAACACCTGCTCCTGCCGAGGGTTCAGGAAATACAGCAGGGTCAGGAGCAGGGTTGGTAACCACTACAGCATCAGGCAAACGCATCCGGAAGAATCATGCTTGTGAGATGTGTGGTAAAGCTTTCCGGGACGTCTACCACCTTAATCGGCATAAGTTGTCACATTCGGATGAGAAGCCCTACCAGTGTCCTGTCTGCCAGCAGCGGTTCAAGCGGAAGGACCGCATGAGCTATCATGTCCGTTCGCATGATGGTGCTGTGCACAAGCCGTACATCTGCAGCCACTGCGGGAAGAGTTTCTCCCGGTACGATGATGTCAAGGGTATAGGGAAGAGACAGTTTAAATGGGAGTGGATTCATGGCTCACACAAGGAGATTGACATAAGGATAGGTTACTTTTTCCTTCATACCAATAACTATAGTAGACAAAGCTAACCATTCTAAGTTAGAAAAACGGTTAGAATAGAAATAGGTTTAGAGATGTCTGCAGGCCATCGCAGAGCACCACTGTCTTTCTAACTTGCCTGTTTTACACATAGTGCCCCTGGCTCTGTTGTGTGACTAATTTGGTCACATTCGGAATTTTTAAAGAAATAGCAGACTTTGCTTCTATAGAAGATCTCAAGAACAGAGAAGCATGTAGGAAATCTGTCCTACCATCCTCGCTATTTTCTTTGATATCAGAAGCTTCCTTTGGGCACTCGGGCTGCTGATCAAGCAAGTGTGTGTGTGTGTGTGTGTGTGTGTGTGAGAGAGAGAGAGAAAGAGAGAGAGAGAGACTGAACAAGTAAAGCCAAATTTTCTAAGGTGCATTCCACTAATTTTAAATTGGTAACATACAACCCAAACTAGATAGCTTCCTCATACCTGCCACTAGTCTTTATGGACCATAATACGGAAGAATCCATCAGGCAGTTTCTTGACTACAGTAAGCAGCACCTGTTGACAAGATTCCTTGCTAGAACTGAGATACATTGGCAGACCTTAAGTGACAGTCTTAGACCCTAAGAACGATGTGTCACAGATGAATTTTAGAAAGTACTGAGAAGGCAACAAGACAATTTAAATGCAACTCTACAGTATTTTGAAGACATACCACATTTTAATTTTACTAATCCAGCAGATTTAAATATCATAACAAATATAAGGTAGTGATATAACAAGTGAGGCTCAGCAAGCTTTAATGTTTTGCATACAACAAAGACTACATATGGACATCTAGCATGTCAAAAGGAAGAGCAAGCTTAAAAGCTGTCTTGATGTGCTAATTTTTATATACAGCTATTTTTGTTTAACATAGAGTGGCACACAGGCATGGAATCCCTCACCTACAGTTTGGTATAATCTGAGAAAGTACAAGACCTCATGCAATTTCTACACATTTTAGTAAATTCTTGGATCAAGCAACAGACACCACGGCCAGCTGGTTGGCAGGGTGGGGAGAAATACCACACTTTCAAAACTAAACAGATTAATAGCATGGCAATACAGTGCTGGCAACCCAGCCTATAAATATATGTCCATATGTTGGTATCTGAAAGTTTCAATTATTACAAAATATTTTCCACTCCAAGATATTACTCTGCCAGGACAGAAGTGAGAGAACTGCATAACAACTATCAAGAATCTACAGTATCGTCAGCATTAAAGTACAGTATTAAAACTTCATAGCTTAGAATGTAGTTAGATAAGGAAGAAATCACATGAATCAGGTAGGAGCACAAAGTTAAAGCCATAGTTTCATCCTGTGGGCATGTGCAAAAAGGAATTGGTATATGTTTTAGAATTATTCAAATCCAATATCAACATCTTTATATATTGATATGGTTTCAAATAATTTTGATTCCCCCCCCCCCAAATATTGTAGTGGCAATAACAAGAGATAGGTTCATTTAGGGATTTAAAAAATATTGTACCCATCACTAACGAATTAATTTCTTGATTTTCAAACAGTCCTGTGCCCTGTTCCAAGTCCTCCATACAGAGCATGTTACCATAGTCTTTCGAGACTGAAGGATGACTAACTAACTGTGCCCTTAAAAACTAAAAGCATTTTAGTCTTTCGAGACTGAAGGATGACTAACTGTGCCCTTAAAGACTAAAAGCATTCTTTATTTTAAATGGTGGCTTCATCTGATAGAAACAGTCTAAAAAGGCAACAGGTCAAACCCACAACTGGAAAGTTTCTTTTTTACCCAACGTAAAATAACATAAAATATTTCTGTGATTGGCTTTCATGCTTTAGTTTTTGAAGGATGATGGGATTTGTAGTCAAGAATAAAAGATGCATGACAGAAAAAGGAGAGGGAAATCTAGAACAGCAGTACTGTAGTACTCCATCTTCATTAAAGTGTTCGAGATTACTTTTCTCTCCCTTGAGTTTTTACTAGGACCTTGTAGTTAAGCTTGTCTTTTCTCTTTAATGAGGAAGAGTATACGCTTGACTTTTTCAATGTTTATACCAGACTTAGATTTTTGTGTAAATGTGTAGTTGCATGGAACACAAAGCATAGTCTTGTCCATAGGTTTGGAATGTAAATGAAGTGCCAAACAAACAAATTCCTTAATTTATTTGCCCTATGGAATTTAGAGTTTCCTGTGAACTCTTAGATAAAGCACTTGTGTGCTCATAATTTCTGATCTCCCATAGTCCCTTGTATAAATCAATCAATAAAACCATTGGTGGACCTGGGCTGTGGGTTAAAAAAACACAAGAGATAGTTTTCCGCCTGATCACAGGTATACAAAAGACGATGGTTGTGATTTCTAGCATCTGGCTTACAATAATAATGAAGTCAAAAAATTGAAACAACCTGAATAAATGTGGACTTTTTCATTGGATATTTTTAAACACACAAAACAGAATGGAGGCACATTAGACAGAATTTCTTCTCAGTACTGGGATGACTAGCAGTATGTACTAAAACAAGATAAACACTCTTGGAAATTATTGCTAGGTAAGCTAGTTCAGTAGAATAAAAATTCAGTCACTCCCATTTTTAAGCATATCATTAATCTTCACAAAGGATTACAAATTCTTTACATTTTAAGTGTATTGATTTTGACTTCACCTTGCTTCCTGATTTGCAAATGCCATAAATCAACTCGTAGCTTCCAACCTGTTTTCCCATTTAGGCTTTTATCACTTAGTACCCACCTGCAACTGTTCTGTGGCTAATTAATCAGCCATCCAGTAGGAACTATTGCAGATGTGTAGGCTCCCTACCATCATCAACTCAAGTATTAGAGAACATTTCAGATTGCCATGTTCCTATTTGGAATTTCAGATTATAGGGCCTGTAAGAAAAATGTATAACAATATAGATACTGTATTTTAAGAGTACAGCTTTCCAAGAATAGGGATGTCTGTATTTCTTGCAACTGTTATAGGAGGCTTGCCAGGAAGGGGGGAAATAACAAAAAGTTGCAATGTTAGCTGTAGGTGATAAATTGCAATGTAGTTAATGCATTTTTAAAACAAAATGTCAGCTCTACAAAAGAATATTGATACAGGAATAAGACCTATCTATTAAGCCTCCCGTTTAGAAGGGGAATATAATGATACTGAGAAAGATATGGGGCTTTAAAGTTGGGGATTAAAGGGCACCTACCTTACTTGCATCTTTCCTTCCAACCACAGGCCGGACCATTTGAATAGCCATGTGCGGCAAGTCCACTCAACAGAGAGGCCCTTCAAATGTGAGGTACCTTTCCACATGGAGAGTTCAGCTGCTTTGATTCATACCTCCTCCCACCTCATATTGTTACTGTTAAGAATTCTGCTGGCTTCCTGGTGCAAGTGGGAGTAAATTTCTAGTACCATTTACTTAAAGGGAACTTAGTGCTAACTGTAATCCTCTAGTCTTTGGTTACTTTGGAAAGTAGGCCATAGGAAACAAAGGCCAGAATCCTGTTCAGTGACATAATATAAAACAGGAAATTGTTTAATTGCTGCGTGCAGATGTTCCACACTTGATATATCAAAGTTGTGCACTCAGTTGCACACCCAGAAAGTTTTGAAACTTCTGCACTTGTACTTATTTGTAGTGGAATTTTGCAGAATTTTTGGCCACATTTTTTTCCCACTTTGATTCCTTTGCCCCTGTTCTTGCAGACTTGTGAAGCAGCCTTCGCTACGAAGGATCGGCTTCGGGCTCACACGGTCCGTCATGAGGAGAAGGTGCCATGTCATGTCTGTGGAAAGATGCTGAGTGCTGCCTACATTACGGACCACATGAAAGTACACAGCCAAGGGCCTAATCATGTCTGCGAACTGTGCAACAAAGGTAAATGGGCAGGGCTGTGTGAAAGAATATCTGAGAATGAGTTGGGGAAAATGAAGCTGTTAACCTTGCTTAAGGAGCATTAGAAAGCTCACGGTACCATACTATTCAGGTATACTTAGACGTAAGTACTAATATGTTGCACTGGAGCTTGCTTCAGGGGACATTTTGCATTGGATTGCATCTTCATTTGATATCTGCAGCCTTACTTGCTACCACTAATAACGTTTTCTGCCCATAGTTTCTCAGTGTAAAAAGAGCCATGTTTGATGAATAAATTTGGCGAACCTGGATTAACTTTGGTTCCCACCCATACCACTCTCTTGTTCATTATTTTGCTTACTGGTTTGATCAAATAAGGCTAATTTTCCATAGGCATTTGTTCTGTATGGTTCTCACCAACATGAACACAACCAAATACTAGCATATGATGACCCACAAGGGCCTCACAGCGAGGGGATGTGTTTATTTTTTTTTTATACATTGAACTAAATTTGCTCATGCGAAATTGCAAAGAAAACATGATTTAATATTGCTGCTGCTGTCCTGTTAAACAAGTTTTCACAAATAGTATTTATGTTCTTTAATATGTAGCTGCCCATTCCTCTCATGGCTACATTAAATACATTGTTTTACAACAGAGAGGGTCTCTGATGTTCATTTTCCTGTTTACATGTCCAGTTCCGTTTTGCACAGTCTGAAAGATGGCATTATTTGCTATCGTTGGATTTTATACTCTTCCCTTTAGATATTTAGTGCACACTTGAAACTGTCCATGCAGTGGCCCACCGTGTGAGCAGTTAAACACTTCCCATGTAGAAATGCCTCCTACGAAAGTGTAAGTCTTGTTCATTCCAACTGGATGATCTCCAGTTGTTCAACTGCAAACTAGAAATTATGTGATATTCTACCAGACTTCACTAGAATTCTCACCATTGGTGTACTCCATTGACTAGGTACTTGACATAATTTTAAAAATTACTGAAAGAGTGTATCTGTTTAAAAAAAACAAATGTGCATCTGGTCACTCCAACTTTATCCATCTGACATGCCTAGTGTCTAACCTAATTTTGACAAAAGAGAAAATATCCTTAAAATATTAATTAAAACTTTGGAAGTACACAAGTTTACTAGAAAAAGCTGAAAGACGCAACAGATTTGTATTTTATTTTAGCTGTGCTTTTTTCTGTGCTAACTCTTGTATTATCTATGTGGATAATGTGCCTAATCCTTTCTGCTTTACCCATAGCTTAGTAATAGCATTAGTAACATATTTTAAGTATCTGGATTTTTGGAAACATAAGGCAACACTTTACTGTTAATCATTTCCTAGAACTCCATTATGGATTCAAGTAGTTCATAGTGAATTATGCATTGCAGAGCATATAGATAACATAGCATAGATCTGCTGTGTGGATGGGGGGGGGATCTGGGAGAGTGCATTGTAGAATTTCTCTTACTCTATTACTTTTGGTCTCAGAATGTGTAGTTCTGTCTTTTTCTCCCTCAAGTTGATTTTCTTGATGCCCAGATGCAGCTGCCCCTAGGGTGGGGTCTGCTGTTTTTATGAGATAGTCTGGTGTCAGGATTCAGCCATCTCTAGGGTGGAGAAGCTGCCTCTTAGGTAAGAAGGCTTGGTGCAGTTGATCCTTCACTAGATGTCAAGACGCAGCCGCCTCTAGGGTGAAACACAACCAAGCATTGGAGGACACTGGGGAACGCTTTCGCTAGGCCGGACACTGACCTGGCTGGTTTTTGTCCTTCTCCCCCTCCCGTAGGGTTCACCACAGCGGCCTACCTCAGGGTCCACGCGGTCAAGGACCACGGACTGGCCGCCCCGCGGCTGGAGCGTTTCCTTTGCAAGCTGTGTGGCGTGCACTGCAAGACCCCAGCTCAGCTCAACGGGCATCTGCAGACGCACGCAGGAGAAGGGGCCGCGGCCACTGAGGGCCAACCGCTGCGGTGAAACGCTGGCCGGGCCACCAGGCAAGAGCCACTTCCTTCTGTCCTGGGGAATGGGGAGGGGTGCCCATATGCCCCATAGGGTTTTGAGGTATCCTTATATTATCAGTGGGAGAAGGAGGAACCCCAGCTCCCCTGGGGCGGCTGCATCCTAAATTAGAATCCCGTTGCCAACATTCATGTGCCTACATGCTGCAGTGTCCATTTTGGTTTCATATCTTACTTGAGGATCTGCACATTTATCTTGCTATGGACAGAGCTAGGCTTTACGTGTTCATTAAGAAAAAATCCAAAGACATACATTCCTGTGAATGTATTTATCCAAATGTCATGTCTTAAAGTTAGGAACAGAATCAATAGACATCTCTGGGCTCTTTTTTACCATTTATATCATGGCTACTACAAAACACCATGTATTACTGTTAGTTTTGAAATATCACTGATCATAGGTTTTTGTACACTAATTTCTCTGAGATCGAAGGAAAAATACTTCGATCTATTCATTGCTGCAAATGCATTTTGTTTTAGGCTGCATCACCCATCCTGGAGAACTATGGCATTGTAGCGTTTTCCTTGTGGGAGCTTGCCTGAGAAAATATATTTTACTATGCAAAGTGACAGCAGTTTTACTGTTCACTTTTTCATAACTTAAGTTTTGCGGTGTGTAAGCAGTAAATGTCAAACCTAGAAAGATAATGTTTTCCAGCTTTTTAGAGAAGAGAGATTTCCTCCATGATGTGGCTAAATCTGGTACTTTGGAGAAAGGGGCAGCTGCATCCATCTTTTCGTTACCACATAAAATCAACTATGTCTGTACCCCAGCATTCTAGTTTAAGGCAGTGGAGGGTGGCAGCTCCAATTTTGTGTTTATAGATTTTAAAAAAAAACATAACAAGGGTGACAAACTGCTTTGACTTTCTGCATTTCTTTTTTTCACAGGTACGGGTGAGGTCTGCCCCCTCGCAGCAGCCGTCTCGGCCCCACCTCCCGCTGCCGTCACGGTGCTGCCCATGGAGGGAGCTTCGGTTGTGAGCCAAGCCCTCCCCACACAGCCCTGGTGATTTCTGGGAGTGGGGAGGCAGAAGCCCACCTTCCCAGTCCTATCCCTTTCCCTCATTGGCAGCTGGAGCCTCCAAGCCCAGATGGATACACAGTGGCCATATATGGGTTTCTAATTTAATGGTGGTTTCATTCATTCTCTCCCCCACCTATGCTCGTGAAATAGTGGGGCCAGGGAAGCACCTGCCCAGCCAAGGCACAGCTCTTGTTCAGAGAACCATGGAAGGGCTTTGTGTGCATTCAGAAAGCACCCTCGTTTTATTGACTCCCCTGCTCAAGAATCCTTAATTCCTAGTCCCTCCAGCAGTCCCAGAAGTCCATGCTCCCCTCCAATACCTAGCTACAGTCTCCATCAATGTAAATCTCTTGCTAATTCCAGCTGTGCCCCCCTTGTCCCAAATCAGCTACACAAAAAGAATATTGTCAGAAAGATTTCTCAAGTTCACTCAGGAAGAGAAAGAGGAGGGCTAAAGGCTGGGATAGCAGTGGAACAGAATTATGGGATGACATTACAGCTTGAGGGAACCCTGAGTTTGGAATAATAGGAGTTTGATTAAGGGATGGACAGAGTTTGTGGAACCCACAGGCAAGTTAAAAGAGGGGTGCAAATCAGGACTTGGGCATCAGAGCCACCTGGAGCTTGACCCTGGGGTAGCCGGGAGGGCTGCAGTGGGATGCAGAGGAGGAGATGCTATTTCTCCATGATTTCACTGTGGAGTACCCTCCATTCCCCTGCTGAGGAGCTGTTCTGAATTTCCCTTCTTCCCCCAGCACCTCATTCTTCTGTGGTGTCTGTTTTAATGCTCCATTCCCTCAGCTTCTCTTGTGATTCGTGTTCCAAGCGCATCAGCCCTTGACACCAAGCATTGATACCCCACCTGCTGAACCCCTTCCTTGTTGCATGCAACCCCCCATGGTTCGGGGTTAGAGTCTCTCGCTTTTTTGTATTATATATATAAAAAATCCCCTGACATTTAAAATAACCCCCTTTGTGTTTTTTGTTTTTGTTAACACAAATGTAATGAAGATGTCCATCTATCCTCTTGCCTTGTTCCTCCCCCTTAGCCCCATTTCTTCCCTCTTCTGTACACCCTTTCTGGATATGTGTCTCAAAAGCAAACAATTTTAGTAAAAACATTGAAGGAAAAAAGATCCATATGTGTGTGTCTTTATTGTCTGACTGTTTTGTGTCACTTAAGAGTGTAAAAGAAAATAATTGTGCTTTGCAGCCTCTTGCCCTTTCCACCTCACTATCCAGATCTCCTGATGCCTATATAAAATGGCTGGTAGAACTCATGCTAGGTCACAAATCTCAGCTCTTAAGTGGGTTTCTCAATACACTGCCTTATTTCCACTGTTTACTCAAGAGAATAGCCCCTACACCCCTTGTTACTACATTTAAGTCCCCTTTAGAGGAGAAGGAGCAAATGGCACCTTAGTGGTATTGCCATCTGAGTGGTAGTGGTGAGATATGGCGGGGGGAGTGCGTGCCTGCACTTTGGTAACCAGAGCTGTGCCATGGTGTGAGGAGGGTTAATCTGTGTGCTCTGTTCCCCCCTCCCTCGCGCAGCAGCCCGGACGGGTTATGAATAATTGATGAGAAACTGGAAATGAGAGATTTTTATATAATTTTCTCCCACAGAGGGAGGAGGGAAGGCTAAGGAACTAGGATTCCCCCAAAGCAGCTGTAAGGCACCGTTCTCCAACATTAGCTTCCAGAGCTTTGTGAGACTGTCTATTGGTACAAATAATTTCCTTCCCTCCTTTGTTCAGCCAGGAGTTCCCTTCTGTATATCCCAGGGGTAGCACCCTTCAAGCCCTTTTGCGTCATTTTTATCCTGCACATGTTTGAGCCTCCGAGCAGTCCCAGAGGAATAGTGGCAATGCCTCACTCCTCGGTCGATTGGTGCTCCTTGCACTTGTGGCTTCCTCATGTGAAGTTTTCTTCCATTCTAGGGGAGTGTAGAATATGTGGGATGCTTTCAGTACCAACATAGTCTCTGCTAATGCCTTTCCCCTCCAGATCAGCTGATTCTCCATGAAATCCAAATCACACACCCCTCCCTTGTTTGTATTGGAGAAACGGGGTCCATGAAACCATTTGACTCCTACCGGGGGAAGGGAAGGGGCGTCTTTCCAGACAAAGCTGCCAAGTGAGCAAGTAAGAGGGGTGGGCTTGTGGGGGGAGCGAGGGAAAAAGAGGGGCGGAGATTGCATCTGGGCATCTATTCCTCCCTCTCATGTTGGGGAGGGGAGAAAGGGAGAGATACAGCAGAAGGAGGGAGGGGTGTGATGTGTTAGTAAGGGGGGCACCAATCCTGCCAGTCCTTTGCCCATCCTGCCCCCTTTTGCCAACTGGACACAGCCAAAAGCCCAGGTAGGAGAAGAAGGGACTCTTTATCTCTGGTTGGATCCACCATCCCTTCCCTCCACCACCACCACCACCCGGGTTTCTTTTCCCTATTTTGTCCGAGCGGATAACGGTGCTGCGGCAAGCGGGCGGGGGAGACCAAAGGGACTTAAGTGAGCATGCAGAGCTGGGTGTGAACGGGAAAGGGGGAAGGCTCGTTGAGAGGGACGGAGGGAAGGGAGAGCTGATCAACGGGCGGGGGTCATCGGGCGATCGAAATGTGCACCACCACCACCCGGGTTTCTTTTCCCTATTTTGTCCGAGCGGATAACGGTGCTGCGGCAAGCGGGCGGGGGAGACCAAAGGGACTTAAGTGAGCATGCAGAGCTGGGTGTGAACGGGAAAGGGGGAAGGCTCGTTGAGAGGGACGGAGGGAAGGGAGAGCTGATCAACGGGCGGGGGTCATCGGGCGATCGAAATGTGGCCGTGGGCGTGAGGTAAGGGCTTGGGGGAGGGAGTAGGGGGTAGTGGGCAGATGGGAGGGGGGGAGTGAATATTTGGGGCGCCCGGCATCCCATCCCT